ACTATATAAAAGACCAAATGTTTCCATTTTTTTTTAATCACTCCATTGATGTATGGAGCTCTGAGTGAGGAACTCCTTCTTACCAATGTGGATTGACCCTTTCTCTGCAATTTATGTTTTTGTGAGCTGCCTAGAGCAGAGGTGTCAAACATATGACCCACGTCACTCCCCAGTCTAAACCAGATTAAAATACAGTTATGAATTATTTAATAAAATAAATAAAAACACAATAAAACATAGGTAATGTTAATATAAGGTTTTTAAAATCAGGATGTGTAGCAGGGAATCTTATGTACTCTTTAGTAGCATCTGTTCCTATTTAATTTTGACACCAATGGCCTACGAACATGCCAACAACATATGCCAGAGGTGAGACTTGAACCCAGGTGTTTCTGGCTCTGAGGCCAGGTCTTCATCCACTATTCCACACTGCCTTGATTTGTCTATTCTCCATATACTGTGTGTGGTGTATTTTTTTTTTACATTCTTCCTTTATCATAAGTTGTCATATGCCTTTAATATAGGCGCCTGTAGCTGTGAAGAGTTACTGCTTAAGAAAGTTTAGTAGAGGGGCAGCTAGGTGGTGCAGTGGATATAGCAAGGCCCTGGAGTTAGGAGGACCTGAATTTAAATGCGGCCTCAGACACATGACACTCACTAGCTGTGTGACCCTGGGCAAGTCACTTAACCCCTGCCTAGCCAAAAAAAAAAGTTTAGTAGAGTTGAGTTATTCATAAAAATAAGAGCTCAAAAGAGCCTGAAGTGTCCTTATCCCAGTTAGATTGGATGTTCCCTTAAAAAATGTAGTAGAACAAAGAAAAGCAGAGTAGAAACCTTGCCTTGGCCCTGTTCCTTGAACACAGTCAACACTCAGTGATGTAGGTTTTTAATAAATATTTACTGCATTTTTACTAAGTTAAAACAGACTGAATTGAATGGGGGAAGCATTGATCTGTCTTTACAAAAAAAAAAGATCTGAGGGTTTTAGTGGATCATAAAATCAGGGTAAATCAACAATATGCTATATGACAACCAAGGAAAATAGTATCTTAGGCTGCATTCACAGAGACAAAGAATCTGGTGTTAGGGAAATCATCACACTTCCCTCCTCTTCCCTGATGAGTGCATATGTGGAATTCTGGGTTCTATCCTTAACACACATTTTAGGAAAGGCATCAATGAGCTGGTGGGCATTCCAGGGAATGGAAAATAATCTCAACTTCCCAATATGTGATTATCAATTGAAGGAACTGTGGATGTTTAATATGGAGGATAGAAATTTTTAGAGCGCTAAGATTGTTAACTTCAAGTTTTTGAAAGAATTTTCACAGGAAAGATTGATAAATTTTCTTTTTCTGCTTGGTCCCAGATGATGGAACTTGGGAGCAATGGGTGGATATTGGAAAGAGGGAATTTTAGGTTTGATATAAGGGAAATCTTTGTAACAATTCGAGCCATCACACAAGTGGATTGGGGAACCTCTGTGCTTGGTGGGTTCTCTCTTATTGGGGGTCTGAAAGCAAAGACAGGGTGACTATTTGACAAAAATTTTTATGAGGGCATTCTCTTCTTGGTATGAATGGTCTCTGAGGTTCTTTCCAGCCCTGAAATCTTGTGATTCTAAATCAGAATTGGCCAAAGCTATCAAGGCCCAAGTTTAAAAATAGTCAACACAAGTTGAAAAACATGGTAATGTTTATTAATGATGATCTTTTTTTTTTAAATGAAAGCCATGGATGTCCAAACACAAACTGAATCACTTACAGCAAACTGAAGGCACACTCTCCCACATTTTTATTTATTTTTATTTATTTTATTTTTTACAAAAAAGTCATGACATATGCTTTTTTTTTTCCTGGTTGGTGGAAATGAGGCATCAGGGACACTAACAATCCCATTAAACACAACGTGTAACATAGATTTCAACTTTGCCAATGGCAGTTAGTAAATGCTCCCTTGGTATTAATTTCATCTGCTGATTTTTTTTTTGTTGTGTTACAGTACTTATAAGGATCCCTTTAAAGTTTTAATGACTATGATTCATTTCTATGCAGAAAAATCCAGCATGTTGGCCCCACTGGCCTCAAATGCTTGACTAGGGTTTTGTCAGTATCCTGGAATGGAAACATGGAATATTTTCTGGGAAACATATGAGGCTGGGAAGCCCATGATTTTATTTTACTCTTCAAATTGCTGAAAGACAAAAATCATCTCATCAAGTTAAACATTTCCCTTGTGGTTTAGATTAAACCTTCATAATGGTTGACCACTAGTTAAAATTTGTATATAAAAAAATGGTTCTACATTCCTAGCGTGGTTGCGTACACATCAGTTATCTGTGTTACTTTTCGGTGGAAGCGGGAGAAGGAAACCTGTAGTTGCCACTAAAATACGAGGGGAAAAAAAGCAAAAAACAACAGCAGAGCAAAACTACCCAAATACCATTTAGTCTATTTCAGAGCATAGATCTGGGCTCATCTGCCATTAAAGCAAGCTGAATTAAATGGGGGGAAAACCTTTCTAAAAAAAGAATTCACCTCACATTATTGGCTCTTTACAAAACTGTTATCCTCTAAGATTCTTTCTAAATTGGATTTCCATAGCATTTGCAAATACGAAATCAATTCTACAGTAGTATAAACAAAACCCAGGAAAAAGGCACTTATGCACAGCAGGAGGATGGATAGTCAATTCAATCTTCTATGCAGCCCTTCAAAAAATACCTTGTCAATTGAAGCTCATTTCTGGCCTGCTTATGAATCCAGCTAAGTTCCAGGATGAAATCACATCAGAATGCTTAGGAAAAGGGATCCCGAGGGGGCCATTGTCAATTTTATATCAATTGGAAATTTCTGATGAGACCTCAGATAAGCATGTGAAGCATGCAATGTTATTAGGTCATGTGCAAGGAAAGTTGTTGGATAAAGTCTCTCAGCTTACTAAATAAAAAAAAAGAAAAGAAAAGAAAAGAAAACCTAAACATTTGTCTCAAGGGAGAGCTTGACAAGATAATTAGATGAATGATAACAAAATCTCAGCAGGGAAGTGCCCATAAATTGAATTTATTTGGGAGCATGTTCTCACAAGTATCACCAAATTATCTAATTTTCGCTTACATTAAAAAGCGATAGCCTATAACAACTAATTACTGGAAAAGGAGGAGAAGGCCAATACTTTGAACTAATAGCACATAAGAAAACAAAATTACAAATGTCAAAGAGCCACCATGATGGTTGACAGCTTTCTATGAATTCCCTTATCCATTTTGCCTCTAAAATTGTTTTGCCAAGGCAAACGATTCCAGTAATTTGTATATAGCACTGTATTTAAAGATCCAAATACACTGATAACATCTTCAGATCCTTTTCATTTGGTCCGGAATGCCATTCTTCATATTGGCATATATATAAATGATAAGCTCATTAAAAGAGGAAACATTGGAGAAGTAAGGTTTTTTTGAGTGTAAACAACAAATTATCCCATCACGTTTACCTATAGGAAAGGTATGACATATAGATGGCTTAGCTCCTTGTTCTGCAGCTAACTTCAAAATGTGCCACTTAAAATACATAGAGAGAACATTACATCTAGCCTGGACATTTACAACCAGGAATGAGTAAAAAACCATGGTTTTACTCAGCTTTCCAACCCTGAATTGCTAGTTCAGACCCTACAGGTTATACATTAGGTAGTTTAACTCTTTTGTATCCAAAGGACCAGCTGAAACCATATGCCTACCATTGGTTCAGGATCAGAGCTACTTGAAACCATACTCTGAATAATTAGCATAAACAGCAAAAGCTAAAGAAAACATTTTTAAAAAATGACTCTTTCTTATTCCCACCTGAACATTCCAAAGCAACCCCTAAAAATCTTCTGGTATGTTTTGGAAAATAAATGGATATTATAAAGAAAAATGAAACAAAAGTAATATTTTACTTAGCATAAATTTTGAATTCCATTTCCAAATAGTCCTGTTTATCTGAACTTGAATCTCATCGAGAGGCAGCAGAGAGCAATGAAGAGAGAGGTTTGTGTATTAGGTTGTACAGAATGCTGAACACATAGTAAGTACTTAATAAATGCTTTCTGATTGACTAGCTAGCTATACTTGTGGTCAGGAAGATCTGTGTTCAAATCCTGCCTCGGACACTTAGTGACTGTGTGGCCCTTGTCAAGTCACTTAACTTCTCCTGGCCTGTTTTCTCATCTGTATAATGAAAGGGTTAGTCTCCATGGCCTTGAAGGATCCTTCCAGGTCTAGGTACCATGAAACAGGGGAGAAACTCAGATCCAGTTAAATTCAATAAGACATTCAGTACATTATTTAGCTACTCATGATCCACTTTTTTCTTTCTTTCTTTCTTTTTTATTTAGTAAAAACAAATCTAAACAAATATATCTCAAATGAAAATTATTATTAAATGAATTGAAGTATAATAATTTATTCCAATCTGTTTCACTGGAGGAAATAGCTTTAGCATTGATATCACAAATTTATTTGAATATTAAAGAAAAGTATTCAAAATATCCCTTACTTCTCCTATTTGTGTTTTCAGCTTTAAAAACATCTTTAAAGTCCTGTTCAATTGGGACACCATTTTACTGGCAGTAAACTCACGATTGTCAGTATAACCAAGCAGCTGCAGTGTTATTCACCGTACCTGCATCATGTAGATTTTTAAAAACAACTGATGAATTTATGTGTTTTCATCTTGCATAATTATGATACTCTAGGGCAACAGAAATAAAAAATCCAAAAGAAGAAAACTGTAGGATCATGCTTTGTTATTCTAAACCATTTCTTCCCATAATAAGAAAAGTAAAACAGGTATCAGACATGGTACATAAATATATAGAGATTAACAGGCAGCTAGATTGTGAGGCATGGATATATGGCCACCATTAAAAGATAACAGAATGTGGCTTTGGTTCTGCCAAAGTTACAACCCCCCCCCCACAAAAATCATATTTATTGACTCAGATCTCATGTTATGGTCTTCAAAGTTTGCATTCATTTTTATTCTTTTGTCTAATGAACACAGAGAAATGCATTCTTCCTATGAATCGGTATTTCAGATGGCAAGTGACTCTCTTGATTTGTTCACAATGATAGTTCACGGTCTAAATGCAAAACCACGTCAGGCAGTCATTGCATAGGAACCACTCTGGATTCTGCAGACAGTTTTTTCATTTGATACTGTTACTGGAAATTTTCATTTAAAATTGGGGAACCATGTGCACACAAAACCCTAATGATTCATATACTTTTTTTGGGGGGGGGGGTTGAGAAAGCATTAAAAAATAAAGGAAATGTGCAAAATCGTGGGCTTTATCTTTCAGTGTCAGTTTTAATGCCTTTCTCAGCACTCATAGATCCTCTTAGAAGCACAACTTTCGATCCATTATTATATGAAACTTTAATCGCCCTCCTATTATGAAGTAGGCCATTTCCATTCCACAAAACGTAGGTCATTTATTTCCATTCAGCCTCTTCCCAGATGACCAAAAATGGAGTCTTTATTTCATCATATTTCTAGTTAGGAATGCGTTAGCTTGTTTCAATAACAAAGATCTGAACAATAGAAGACCCGTGCCATATGTATATGCTTTTTGAGGGTAATAAGTTCATCACCTTGAGCTTTTTATGAGGAACTGCATTCAATGTGCTTAGTCTCCCAGGGTATCTTCCATCATCTAATATGCATTCCTTCCTCTCCTACGCTTTGTTAGAATTCCTTGCTTTATTCAGAGCACAGCTTGTATGCCACCTCTTCCATGAGTCCTTTCCTGATACCCTTCTCCCAGTGACTGACACTTTCTCCCCTTTCCAGTGAGTTTGTATTATTTTGCACATATTTGATATTCATTCATAGGTTTACATATTGCATCTCCTGCAGATCATTATAAGCTGTTGGAGGGTGAGGACCATTTTGTTTTAGCCTTTGCATACCCAGCACCCAACCCAGGTTCTTTCTTATACACAGGAAGCACTCACTAAATGTTTGTGGAATTGAATTGACTTGTAGAAGTCATATGGTGGTCTTCAAAAAATCTGACTAGTCTAGAGTGATGACTCATTAGGCTGTCATCGTTACTTTTGTTGTAAAAAATGACAGAACAGCAAGGAACATTTTAGCTCTTTAATGAGCAAAGATTCAGGTCTCTTAGCATTGGACTAATAATCATTATCCAGATTATCTTTATTTCACTCAGTGACCAGGAACATGGACAAGAAGTACAAAGTAATTTCCATTGAGTAGTATACAATTTTGTGTGTGTGTGTGTGTGTGTGTGTGTGTGTGTGTGTGTAATAAGCTTTCATTCTTGAAAAAGAGTAACTGAAAAAGAAATGTTTCTGTTACCGCAGTTAGTTTGTCAGAGAAAGTTCTTTGCATTATCTTACAAACTATCAAAATTGCTAGTAATCTGAAAAAATGTAAAAAAAAATCACATAACTTTAGTCTAATAGAAATATAGTACAGGTCAGAGAGAAAGTATTCATCAGGGATGTGCTCTTAAGTCCATCTCATTTTTTTTTCTTTTAATATAAATGTACATCTGATTACATATACAAACATTTGGAAAGGTCTGTGATATACTGGTACTGGTAAACAATGGGGGAATGGAGAGTTTCCTGTGATCTTAGAACAATTGCTGAAAATCACACATACAGGAATGACTAAAACCCTCCAGTTTGGGTGACTCTCCTTTTCTAACCTCTCTACCTACACTGGATGCTAGCTAGAGATCTCATCAGCAAATTCCGGTGAATGAACTTCGGTGATAAGGATACGAAATGTAAGGAGGGACGTGACTTTTTATCGAAATAGTATTAGTAAACATTTTGTCATGCAACATGAGTAAATTAAGAATCGGGAGCTGTAATCAGAGTGGCAATATTGGGGCATCCTTATATCGTGAAATACCATCGTAAAGAAATCTTTGGACACACTTCACCTTACCAAGAGGAACGAAATACAGTTTTAACCAAAGCACGGCAAACTATAATTCCTTCAACACAAGTCCCATTTGGGCAACATTTCTATAAATTATTCAGATGAAAACATAAAAGAACATTAAAAATACAGAAAGTTGTTTGTTTTCTCTCTGGGATTCATATCAGTGAGTGTTCACCCCTATCCCTATAGTTTCATCAGCTACCTTTCCTAACTAACACCTTTTATTCCTGAAGCTACTCTAAATTATTCTATTGCAATAACTTCTGCCCCCTTACAAATCTTCTTTGGATTCTGCCAATTGATGGAGGAAGCTTCTATGAAAAAATTCCAATGGGATGAGAAGAATTTTAATTGCAGCTTAATCAGCAGCACAGCCAGGAAGCATATCAATGATCATGCACGACGTGCTAAAAACCCCCAGTTTCCTTGATCCCCCACCAATTTATACTGACAGCACTTATGTGAAAATGTTGACCCTGCCAGGTTTCACTTTGCTGTTTGACCAGCAGGTTTCAGCATGAGCCTTGCTCTACTAAGGCCGTTAACAGCACTGGTGTTTTGTGTACTTATCCAAATAAGTAAATATGGACTACACAAGAAAACAGTTCCAAATAAAAACTGGTGAAAATTATCTGACATTCCATTAGTGTGTCCCTTGTGCATATTTATAGATTTTTTTTTTGTTCTTAAATTTCAGTCGTAGTTCTTTCCTGTTTCGTGTTGCACATGCCTAATTCCATTACGTAACTTAAATCTTCAAAAAATTAATACTTGAATGTGAATGAAAAAGTATCATTCGGAACAACTGCTTCAAGCAATCGAGATCAGTTTTTAAAGTTCATTTGTGTAACTATATACAATTCATTTTTTTCAAAACCTCAAAAGTTCTTGATATGTATATTCACATAATATTCCTCCTTATTTAAATAGTAAGTCTTTGTAGGTTGAAAGCCAAGCAATCCCCAGTAATTGCTTACTGTAATCCGTCAAAAAATAGAGTTTGTTTCATCTTGTCTGGCTATACCCTGGTTGTTGAATGTGAGTGGGGGTGGGGGGTGGGGATGGGGCAGAGTATTGTTCTGTCCTCCAGTAAATGTATTGAACGTGTGTAAGGGCTGGATTCCTGGTATAGTGTTGGGAATCATTGTAATGGTGTTGGGGGGTCATTAAGGGAACGTCATCAGGAGACCTCCTCATAGCTAGCGTGTAGTCTGGGGGACAGGCGGTCCGGAGAACCACCTCATGTGGATGGATAGACTCACATTCATGATCCAAGTCTGTGTGCTTCATTTGGAGGGACATTATTTCCTCTTCTTGTGCGTGGGTAAGGTCATTGGTTGTTGTACGTTGAGGGCTACATCTCCTGTGAACATCATGTCTCCTCTTATCCTTCTTGTAGTAGAGAGCGGCAAAGGCCAAGATGTTCAGAAATAGCAAAGATGCCCCAACTGCGATGGTCACACTCAACTCTGTGGAGTAGTCGCGTTGATCAACAGAAAATGGACTGGGTTGCTGCTTCGGATCATCTTGCTTGGCTGTAGGAAAGGCTGACGTGACAGGTACAGAATTTTTCCTTGTTGGCCTGAAGGTAATATCAGTTGAGGGCACTTTAGTTGTAGTAGAGGTATACTGAGAAATATCATTGAGATTGTGCAGATGAGGTACCAACTCCAGCCAGAGGTTCACCTTATTGGCCCTGTAATGCTCTTTTACTCTTGGTTTTAATCCAATATGGAGATAGAGTTGATCTTTCTGTGAATATCTGGTCCATGCTACTTCTTCAAAACGATTGGGTTTTGTGTGGATAAATTTTGTGTCTTGAGGGACTGGTTGATTTGGATCACTATGGGAATTTAAAAAAAGAAAGAGAGACAGAGAGAGGATATGTCACAGTAATTGAGAACTGGATTGGCAATGTTAATATTCAAAATAATTATGTTACCTCACTTCAGAGGTAACCATAAGCAAGACTTCATATACAAAGTCGTGGTTTACAATGATGTGAGTCAATTTGGGGATTAATCAGTAAGTACATATGCCTACCATTATATGTCAGGCACTGTGGTGGTGCTAGAGATACAACAAAAGGGTCCTTGTTCTCAAAGAGCTTACATTCTATCGAGAGAAGTGAACTCCAAAGACAGGCAAAAGGTTAATTTGGGTTAATACTTTACTTAAAATAAGAATCATTAAATTCTTCTAGATCCTTTAACTCATTTTGTACTAGACTCATGTATGCCTGGGAATAAGAAAAAGTTAACCTAGTTTTCACTTGTAATTCAATCATCATTTCTTCTTGGGTTCTGAAAGAGGAACTACAAAATTGCAATTAGTCTAGTAGATTACACGTTCCCTCAAAGTCTTTCAAAATCTACAGTAGTTTATATTTTCTAAGAAAAAAGTATTTCCCTTACCCATTATGATTTATTAAAATAGTTCTGAAAATGAAAAAAAAAAGAAAGGCAAATCTTAATTTTGAAAAAGGCACAAAGTTTCTCTTTCTTTCTTTCTTTCTTTCTTTCTTTCTTTCTTTCTTTCTTTCTTTCTTTCTTTCTTTCTTCCTTCCTTCCTTCCTTCCTTCCTTCCTTCCTTCCTTCCTTCCTTCTTCCTTCCTTCCTTCTTCCTCCTCCTTCTTTCTTCTTTCTTCTTTTTCTTTTCTTTCTTTCTTTCTTTCTTTCTTTCTTTCTTTCTTTCTTTCTTTCTTTCTTTCTTTCTTTCTTTCTTTTCCCCCTGGGGAAAATGCTTCCTTCTATTTTAAATGCCAATTATACCCTGTCTCTTTACATTCACAATACAGAACCATATGGATTTTCTGTTCCCTTTGCTGAGAAGATCATTATTTGTTCTTAAATATTAAGAAGAGGATGCTACCATTAAATTAAAATTTAAACTCATTCTCTTACATGGTACTTACCCAGTTTTAGCAAAATTTGTCCAATAAGTCATCACTACTGCACTCAGCATCACATCATTTTTTGAGAAATTACAAGGGAATAACTCTGTCGGACCAATCATGGGGATTCCCAACACATAAGGAACCTCATCTCCATGAGCTGCATCAGCCCAAGCTGGGACTTGATCTGTTTGGCAATGATGGTAGAAGGCATAGAAGTATGTAGGTGAACCAAAGTTCGAATGAAGGTCTGCTGTAGCCACTGCTGGTGCCACCCACTGATGGTCAGTAAATAAAGCCAATAGCGTCTTGCGTCTAGTCTCAGGATTATGTCGGTCTGCCCAGTCTGTATACATAAATTTAATAGTTTCCCTCAAAACGTCTTTGCCTTCAGGGTATCCATATAAATTATCAACAAAATTGGAGACAGCAAAGTCAAAATCACTAGCTGAAATCCCGTCTTCACTATCTACTATGTTTTCAACAAATTTTAACCCTTCCCCTTGATTAACACCCAACATTATATCATAGTTGAGAAATTCCCCTTGTTCCATCAATATCTGAGGGTCATCTGGAATTACATCACCATCAATTACTGGTCCAAAGGCTATGTGGTATCGAGCTGGCTGGATATCTTGGTCAATAAGTTCTTTATAAGGCTTCTTCTGTAGACATTCAACTAGCTCTCCAGTATCAGACATGTTGCAGCCAACTTTTGTAGCCAACATCCTGGCATATTTTGCAGGCTGGAAGCTAACAGCCCAGCTGGAGAGGGCTGTTCCACTTTGAGCTATTGCCCGTTGAAAGAGTCCTGTGAGAAAATAACAAAGAGGACTGAGATGAACTTCAAACATTTTGAATAGTTATGATAAAACAACGGCTGATAAAATTGAATCCTGTCTTTTGTGAGAGTCAAGAGCACATATAAAATTTCTCCCCAGTCTTCAGAGTCCACTCAGTAGACATGTTGTTGGATTAAAGCTTATTAGAACAAAGAAAGGACATAGAGTAAAACAGGTGATGTCCCAGAGCCCTATTTTTTTTTTTTTGAGATGGGTAAAACGGAGAAGGTTGGGTTATGAGAGCTGTGCAGTGATCAAAAAAGTTGGGAACAGGACGAGCAAAAGGAGTGGTGCTTTGTAGACCTAAGCAAGTCATTTTCCAATCTCTTTTACAAAGCCAAGGTAAAATTGGGTGGCATTGGTGTTGGCTTCCTGACAACATACAATCTGGGGCTGCCTGTTGCCCTTTTGGGATGTATCCTCACCTATGATTGCTTCTTACCCCACTTCTAAGCTCCTTTCTAAACATATTTTTACCTTCATAGGAAGGTGGTGGGGCCTACACCTTTGATTAGCCTTAGGGCCCAAGGAGGGATTCTCCCTGGTGATAACCCTGGAGGTGCAGAGTCTTTTCAATTATATATCTTAGACATTCTAAGCAAAATGTCTATCAGTCAGAAGAATTTGTGTTGCCAGAATCTTGTGACTATGTTACAATCAAGGCCAATGATTTCATGAAGGTGATTCAACTTTCTAGTGTCTTGGGTATAAAATATCATTTTCTAGAATGAAGAATGAGAAATACCCCATATACTGTTTTACACTAACTTGTTCTTAGGGATTATGAGCCACTGGTGAAAGGTTATATAATACTCGAAATCCCTAAGTGGATTTATCTACCAGTTAAGATCTTTTTCATGAAGTTCTTGCTTTAAAATATAATTTAACAGCGTATGTTTTCAAGGAAAAAAAATACATTTTACTAAATGTTCAAAGTACTGCTTTCTGGGGAGGATACTTGATCTCAATTATTCACATATGCAAATGAGCTGAGAACTCTTCACAAGAATACTAAAAGATTCAAAATTAGAACCAATCTTTCAAAAATTTATTTTTTAAAACAAATAAATTGAATACAAAAATCTATGATATATTCCTATATTTCTTTTAGGAAAAAAATTCACAATGTCTAACAGGAAACCATTTAAGTTTATTCAGATTTTTTCAAATCTTGAGGTATAGCCTGCCAGTGGGTGGCAGTGCCTAGCCTTTCACGCAATAGGTGTTTAATAAATATTTGTTGAATTGAAGTCAAGGAGAAGGTAAGTTCCTTGAGGGCAAGGACTGTTTCTTTTTAAAATTTGTCTATGTATCCACCTTGGTTACCGCTTATCTGACACATACTAGGCACTTAGAAAACACTTTGTTGGATTAGAATTAAATAGAATTAACATAGTTAATTAGTTCCAGAGCAAGGCAAAGTATTAGGTAAAATGATGTTACTGGGGACGAGTTGGTTGCTTAAGAGCAGAGTTAAACGTCTCAGAGATATCTATTGTTATTCTGGTTGGGAACAAGGAGCAGGAACATTTTGGTGTGGTACAGTTGTGGTGTCTTAAGGACATTACTGTGCAATATTGGATGGGTTAATGTTATCTGGGATAAGCCTGTGCTTAAACACATTTCCAACTTGATCTAGATTTTGAATCATAAAGTTTATAGATTCAGATATGCAGGGAGCCCAAGAGGTCCCTTATCCATTCAATCTTACTCCCAATTTGTACAGATGCAGAAAGTGAGGCTAGAGATACTAAGTATTCTGTTCAAGATCATAGAGGTAGGAAGTGAGAGGGGCATAATTTGAACCAGGTCTTCTGATTCCAGTCAGCCCTAAATTTGTTATCTCCACTATACCATGCCAAAAGAGTAACATTAAAAGCCAAGTACTCTACAGCATCAGCTCCAAAATAAGTCATTTTGTACAAATTAATTTGTGCAAACAAAATACAATTCTCAAAAAATTAAATGTGTTAATTTCTCATGTGCTGAAATATTCTTGAGTAATACTGTTGAGTAATTTCAAAACCCCTCTAGGTAAGATAGACAACATTTTTAATATGAAAAACTCAGTAGACTATGTAGGATAAAAACTTGGATGTGGCAGCATCCAAAATTTGTGACTTCATGTCATCTGTTATATTGTAGGAGTTGGTTTGACATAATTTCAATATGTGGAGATGTATAATCTCTTAACCTAGGGTGGAAAAGTTTTATACAAAATAGGAAAACAGTTTTAAGTATGCCATTTTCAATAGGACACCATAATAGCTTGTTTTGGGGGCCAATGACAATGCTTATTTTGTAGCCTCTCAATTATATAATGAAAAGGATACATTCCATTTGATGAAGACATGATTTGATCAGCGGTAGAGTGGAAAATATGGTATAGCAAACTGCTTGTTAACAAAGCTGTAAGTTGCTTATATCTCATTCTTGTTATCCGAGTATTAGGACGCTACTAAGGAATACTCTAAGAATAATTTTAAGTTCCATTACTGAGGTTCTAATGCCTTATAATACCATGGGAATATCTCTGTATTCTCCAGGGCAATATCAGTTGTTCCTGAGCTCTGGAAGACTCTACCAAGCTGGGAAAAAAAAAATGTGTACATTTTTGGACGGATGTCCAAGGACCAGCATAACTAAGTTTGGAGAGGCTTTTCGCTAGAATGGTCATGGGTGAAAGACCACCTACTAAGTCACAAAGGGAACAACTGACCAACATTATGTCTAATCATTGGAGTATTCAAATCATTTTGGTTCCAGCCAATTAGCCCAGCACGGGAGTAGGAATGTATTATTAACAGTGAGCCTGGGTTTGGTTCTGTTTTTCACTCCATTCATTTCAACTGTTTTGTTTTTAATGGATTGAGTTCTCAGCTTATCTTCAGTTTCCTCTCTAATTGTTAGCAGGCAAGTTGGAAAATAATTTTTGAAGTCAAATAATACTAAAGTCAAGAAATCATTCCTTCATTTAAATGAAGTTAAGCACCAGATTTAGGGTGGCCTGGAAAAACAAGTTTTCTAAAGAGGACCTCTTCATTCTTTAGAAAGACGCTATATTGTTAAAGACACAAACATCACAGTAATAATCAGAATTTCTAACAGGTGTTGCCACTCCCAATTAACATCTCAATAAAGTCAATGAGGATTTTACATAAAACATATGAACAGATCATGGCTCAAACAATAGACAATTCACTGAATACATACATTTAGTTGATGACCAGATACCTTCCTGTAATTCAACACTAGGAAATTTGTGGTACCACACAAAACCAGATACTCTGTCTTGTCTCACGTAAGCTTTAACTTTACCAATAAAAATGCTTCATAAATTAAACCCAGCTTTTAAGTACCTTGTTGGGTCTTAGTTTCATAAATTTGTAATACAGAAAGAAGAGTTAAATGACATTACATTAAGATATTCTCTTTATCTTATTCTCTCTCTGTATATGTATTTATGTACATGCATATTTTTATATATAGGAACATAATTACATATATGCATATATACATATAGAGTTATAATGTTTTTTGGTTGTATATGAATTTGTGTATATGTGTGTGTGTGAGAGAAGCAGAGAATGATCAAGAAAGGAGGGAGAGAGATTTCACCAACAATATTCTTTTGAGTCTTCTCTGTTATTTCTAATGAGACCAGCTAGATGTGAGTGGAATTTGCAGAAATGGTAAAATGGAAAAATATTCAATAATAATGTGATTGGATTGGGAATACACCTTTATTTAAGAAGACGAGGGTGCTGAGACCTGTTAATGGAAGGAAAAATGCTTCATGGATATTCCATGTTCCCTGTCTTCTCCATACTCAGGGGGTGGTGAGGGGAGTAACATCCTTGGAGTTGAAAATAGGGGGAAAAAGTATAAGATAAAAAGTGTGTGAAAAAAATATCAAAAGTTCCCCTTATAACCTGGATGCTTTGACAATTTTGGATCATGCATGCAAAATAATCAAATATTCTCTTCTTGGATGATAACTGAAAACTCTATGAATTCAGACAAACTATTTAAAGCCTAATTTTGACCTTTATGCTAAAAGAAGAGGGCTAATTCTAAGCTCTCAAACGCTTCAATGGATCTGTCATTTCATTGATTTGGGAATTCCCTTTTATGGTGGAGATTGCAGCCCATCCATTCCTATCCATCTGTGTGATTTTGGTAAATGTCTTTCCATAAATTCACCACAAGGGGGCTATCCACTGTGCTGAAGGCCTTTAAGCATCTGTTAAAATTGATCATCTTGCTTTCTCAAAATCTTGCCTAGGTTTACTGGATGTAGTAACAAAACAGGGAACTAACTGTCTATTCTGATTTCCCTAAAAGGCATGCGTTGCTGGGGTAAGATGGGGAAGCAGAATGATGACTAGATTTGTGTCATTTGGAATCCATCTATGAAAGTCTCTTTTCCAAGCTCTGCAGGAGACAGAAGAAAAGTGTTTGACACCTGAAATTTCAACATGCATAGAAAAACTGGAGAATGTGCCCATCACAGGTCTGACTGTTAGTGAGCAGTGCTTTACACTCAGTATGAACAGAAAAGTAGGTACATCGCATCACAGAATACCAATGGTGGTGGCATGCAGACACCAAAATTGTCAAAATTTGCAACCGGCATAATACCTTTGGTTGAATTGCTCCAACGGTTACCTTCAGAATAATGGGATAAAGTCAGTAGGTTGACACATGACCCCCCAGCGCCAGATCCAAAAACGGTGATTCTCAAAGGGTCACCACCAAAGAATCCAATGTTTTCACTAGTCCATCTTAGAGCCTGTATTAGATCAAGGAGTCCATAATTCCCTTTTGCTGCTTGATCTCCAGTACTCAAGAAACCTGAAAAAAATGAAAGGGAGAAAAATTCTTAGAGCATCCTATGATGTTTATATTTATTTTTCTATTGTTTCTGCGACAGATTATCAGCTGGTATAAAGGATGTTGTCAAGGAAATATATGAACCCCCCCAAAAATCAAAGGGTCACAATTTTTAAGAGCTGGAAAGGACTTCAAGTTATATAGTTCAATCCTTTAATTTTTCCATATGAGTAAACTGAGACCCAGAAACTAAAAAAAAAAACTTACTCAAAGTCACTCAGAGCTGGGATTTGAATGTAAGTCCTTTGATTCCAAATAACAATTATAACAGCTAACATTTATATAGTGCTTACTATGTGCCAGGCACTGTGCTAAGCACTTTACAAATATTTTTTGAGCCTCAGAACAACTCTAGGCGATAGGTGCTATCATTATCTCTATTTTACAGATGAGGAAACTGAGGCAAACTGGAGTTGTGATTTGCCTCGGGTCATGCTACTAGTAAGTATGTAAGGCTGGAGTTGAACTCAGCTCTAATCTAACTCCAGGCCAAGAAACTCTATCCGCTGTGCCACAATGCATCATCCTTGTATTAGTGGTTGAGGTGGTAAGATTAGGAATAACTAATACTGGATAGATTAGAATTCCTGTGATGACAGGAGGCAGCAAGGAAGGCCTCTTCCCATCCTTTTGGGCTGGCCCCTTGCAGTGAATTTATCAGAGGAAATAGACAAAAGTCCATGGGTAGGGATGAATAGGTTCTGATGCACATCATTGCAGCAATACTCATAATGATAAGATGACTGATCCACTGGAGTTTTGGAGTATCATCTCTTTTTTGCTAATGCTTTTGAAGGCTATAGTGAATTGGGCCAAATAAATTAGCTTATTTAGACTAAAATGTTCTTTTAATGAATTCAAATAATTGATGAAGCAAGGCAGAAAGATCTGACTTTTTTGGGAATATGATATGCAAACCTGCAAAAGATCTGTTTCTCTTTCAGCATGAGAAAGTCCTAAGGTGATAACACCATCACAGAATCACAGCATTTGTGAGTTAGAAGGGCCTTCAGCTACCATCTAGAGCAATCCATACATGAAAGGAATTCTTGTTCTTACACATACAAGTGGTCAGTCATCTTGTGCTTGAAGATCTCCAGTGGTGGCCAACCCCCTACCACATAGATTGCAACCTGTCTGTATCCCAGTACCTAAATCTTATGTGGTTGTCTGAGAAACAGAGTGCCTTGCCTAGGGTCATTTAGCTAATGAGCTTCACAGATTGAATTTGCATATAGGCATTCCTGACTTCAGGACTCTCAATCCACAATGCCATGCTGGATCTGAGAAGTAACACAGAAAATCCTAAAAACTTCATAAATAAAGTCAACACCTACAGATGGAGTCATCAAGCCAGATAATACAGAACAGAAAATGAATTTGTTCTAATGGCTAGAGATTCTAAAAGATTTAGCTCATTACCAAAATTCCCAAGTGGTTTTGGCTAACCACTCACTTTGGCTCAAGGTGGGACTACCATTGTAGGGAATAAACATTCTAATCCACTTAATAATAAGTGAGCATTTATTCATATAGTAGTAGAGTCATTGCTATGTATCTTCCGATGTTGTCCTTAAGGACACACCAAACATCATCCCTATCTTTTCCATGCCCCCTCTGTCCCAGGAAACTTAGACTCTGCTCCAAGGATACAAAGGTTAATAGCTGTGCTTTTACATGATGGAGGTCAGAACCAGGACTCCATTATAATTTTCCATGTCTATATCTTGCATATCAGCATCATAATATCCTCCACTACTTCAGACTCTTCTTTTAGAACACCAGGCTCTGAGAGCTGAGCTTTCTCCATATCTTGCCCCAAACTAGTACTCTATGTAATTCCCTATGCATCCTTTCCAAACCATTTTGCTGGAAGTGTATCCTTCCATCCCACTTTCTTGGTACCCTTTATGGGTTGTTTTATGGTTCTCTTATTAGAATGTAAGTTTCTTGAGGGTAAGGTATTATGCTTACTTATCTTTTTATCCCCAGCATTTACCACAGTGCCTGGCATATAATAAACACTTAGTAAATGCTCCCTCACTTTATCATCTATCTCTTTATCTATCTATCTATCTATCTATCTATCTATCTATCTATCTATCTATCTATCTATCTATCTTATCGATCACCTACCTATCTGTTGAACATATCTGAGGTAAAAGTTGGCATATGTAATTTGAGAGTCAAAGAAACTCTCAGCTGGGGAAAATCTTGCAATTAAAAAAAAATTCACAATCCAATCTGTGCCTGCCTGAGACTCCCTTCCCCCAAATCTCCAACAACAGATCCAGCCCTTGTTTGAAGATCTCACTTCAGAGGTAGCCTACGACCTCCTAAGACATTCATTCCCACTTTGGGATTTGGGGACAGCACTAATTATTTGGAATTGAAAACTTGCTTTTTCACCACTTCTGCTTAATGCTCATAATTTCACCTCTGCAGAGAAGCAGATTGAGGCGAATCCCTTTTTCCTTCTATGTGGCAGTTCCTCAAATATTTGAAGACAGCTGCAATCATATCCACCCCCTTCCCTCAAGCGATAGCTTTTCTTTATCCAGCTAAAAGTCATTGGTTCCATCAACTTATTCTCTTATGGCATGGACTAGGGACTTTGACTGCTTTGGTTGTCCTCTGGATGCTCTCCAGAGAACAGATAATCAATATCCTTCAAAATTTTGGTGTCTAAAATAATATATGTGTATATAATATTATGAAATGATTTATACAGCACATTAAGGTTTGCAATGAACTTTACAGAGGCAATCTTACTAACTCTTCACAACCACCCTAGGAGGTAGGTACTATGATTATACCCATTTTACAGAGGAGGAAATTGAGGCAGGTCAAGCGATTTGTCCCTAGTCACACAGCTATTATGTGTCTGAAGGTGGATATGAACTCAGGCCTTCCTGACTCTGAGTTTAGCACTCTATCTGCTGAGCCACCTAGCTGCCACATTATCATAGGCATACAATGCCACTTGACTTATTCCTTTACAAGAATAAAAACAGAAAGGTTCTCAGAGCATTGACATTAATTTCACCTAGAAGATTCAGAGCAGAGAGAAAATCTATGAGGCAAGATATGCTAGGAAAACGTTCATCACTGCGATTCAAATTTGCGAATTAAATGTTGGTTTAAACCGTGTGCAGAACTAAGTCCTTTTCTCAGTTCTCCTCCTCCCTGGATTTTTAAGCTTTCTGATTTCAGAATTAGATGACACTGTGCCCCTCTGAGACCTAGGGCAGAAGGCTCTTACCCAAGGCCACTTAGCTATCTAGTGCCCCAATAGGAAACAGACCCCAGGTTTCTAAGCTTTTATTCCAGCATTCTTTGCAATACACGGTCTTATCTCTGGTGCTACAGTCAGAAACCAGTTTACAAGGTACACCTGCAAATGAAAAGCTCCGATACACTTAAGTACTCACACACTTTCTGCTTCCAGTGCCTAATCCAGCCAACTGCCTGCTTAATGACTTGACTAAAAACTTTTATTAAACGGGTAAAACAAAGTTGATTTGCCTAGGAAATTTGTGCCTCAAAGGAGATTATTTTGTGAGCATTCGATTGTTTACAATGATATAAAAAAGAAGTTTGAAAAATTAAAAAGAAGCCTTTTCAAATTCTCCCAAGATATATTACATGCTTGCTTATTTTAAAGCCGACATCTCTCTCTCTCTCTCTCTCTCTCTCTCTCTCTCTCTCTTTTTCTCTCAAAGAAATCTCTCTTTTAAAAATGTTTCAAAATCCTTTAAAAATATCCCTGGATTTCATCACTGTCATTTCTGGATAGAAATACCTCTCCCCACCTCAGCCCCCCACATCTATAACTCCTCCCTTAAAGTAAAAAAAACAGATTGACATAGATACTGTGTGCAGCATTCTGCACCCTTAATCTCCCACCTCTCTACCAAGAAAAGAGAGTTATGGTTCATTAGTCACCTCTAGGATGAAGGCACTGCCCTCATTTTCTAATTATTCCTAAGCCTTTAGGCAAAAGCTCACTTCACTTGGTAATATTTAAACTTGTTTCTACAATTAGGTGACTCACTGCTCTTTGCAATGGCAATCAAACATTCTACACAGCCATTATAAAGTACACCTACTAGCTAAAATATTTCCACATTAACAGAAATGGAAAAGTGAAATCTCTAATTCAAAAAAGGTACTCCTGTATGTCATAAAATCTAAAATATAGGCTATATACAGCACATATTTTATAGCATCACTCTAGGCCTGGAAAAGACCATGGAGGTCATCCAATCCAACCTCTCATTTTCAGAATCAAGGATACCAAGGGAAGTGACAGCATCATGTGGTGGAGAGTGTGCTGAGCTTGGAGTCAGGAAGACCTAGGTTCAAATCTTGCTTTATAATATTAACTAGTTGTATGACCCCAGGGAAGTCACTTAAATTCTATGTGCTTTTAACAACACCCTCATATTTATTTATTGTCAAAGGTTGCAATCTGTGTTGGCAGACAGAGTTCTCACAATGGAATTTCCTTATGCTGTTGAAATCACAGAGCCTTCAACTATTGCCATAGGTATTTTGTTATGTATTTTTTATACTTATGTTTACTATACAATGCATTGTGTATTCTATATACTACTTCCATTATCTGTCAGTTGGTCAGTGTGCACACTCTTTCCACGTCAGATGAACATCTAGCCCTTCCCTAAATGTGAAGATAGCCTTTGAAAGTTGCTGTGGCTCCATCCTTCTATTATTCTAGTGATGAGCTGCTTCCAAATCGGCTGGCAGGTCTTCAGGCAACAGGCATCCAGGCTGTGCTCGGTCTGCACTCAAAGTCTTTCCAGTGTTTTCTGTGCCATGTGCTTCGCTGACAGTCTGTGAGAACCCAGAGTTGATGCAAATGACATAAACATGAAGTGAGAGGGGTAGGGGAGAGGAGAGAGAGAGGAAAGAGAGGAAGAATGAAAGAGAGAAAAAAAGAG